CACGTGTCAATACACCATTTGAGATTAACTATAGATGACTCCATAAGTCGAGCCATCCGATGACTTCATAGTAAAAACAGCATATAATCATATCCAAGTTAGGCAAAAATATTTGGGGGTGTATGTAAATTTAGTATATTAGATTAGATGTAATATTCCAAGGGATAAATAGATAATACAAATTTACTATTGTATCCTTTACCAATTCTATGTAATTTGTCGAGGCAAAATTGCAATTTTAGTCTATTATCTTTATTTGTCTTTTTATTTTTATTTTTTTGTAAACAATTTTTAGTATTTCAATTTGGTAAATTTTGTTTAAATTTCCTCCTTAATCTTTTGTCATTCTTCATTTTTCATCTATTAACTTTTATTTCCGTGTCAATTTTGTCCAATCTCCACTTTTCGACTTACAAAGTTACAATGGAATAATTTTATTTTTAAGTGTTGTCACTCCTCGTCAATATAAAATAAATTAAAAGATACTTTAAAAAAAAAAATCAAATTGAATTATGTAAATGGACATATGATAATTATAATTAATAAAATTTCTCCGATTTGATATTGGATCTATTTTCATTATAATAACAAAAGATGATAATAATTTCACCGATTTTGATATTGCATATGTGTTGTAAACAATTTTCTTAATATCTTTTTCTAAGTCAATAGATCTTAATTTCTAAGTACTCATTATTTTAAAAAAATTTCATTCGTACAATATTTTTTTTTTTTTTTTTAAATACGCCTTATCCTACTATTCGAGTATGTTAGATTTGTATAAACATGATTTGCGGGAGGTCAAACGTTTCGAATATGTATTTTTTAAGATTTGGTTTTACCTCATATAATAATAATAATAATAATAATAATAATAATAATAATAATAATAATAATAATAATAATAATAATAATAATAATAATTTTTAAGTATCATTTTTACACTTTTTTTTTTGGGTGACTGTCAAAACTAATTTAAGTTAGCTTAAAACTAATTTAAGCTAATAGATTATAAGTGAATTTTGAGTTTATAACTAATAACTTATGACTTATGACGTGTGAATATATTATATACAGGGGCGGACGCAAACTCTATGGACACGGGCACAAACTACGGTCGACGGTCAATTGCCAAAAGTCAACGGTCAAATCAATATTTAACCAACTAAAAAATAAAAAGATTAAAAATTTTGACCAAACACATTGTTTCTTATTTAATAGTTAGAGTTGAGTCTCTCATTCCCATTTAAAAATAGAGACACATTTGATTCAACCCCTATATAGTATACACATTTATGTATATAATTTATTTATTTTTATGTTTTTTTAATTTTGGGAGAGAAATTGAAATAAACAAGAAGTTGAATATAACATAAACATAAATTCCACAACTTGAAAAATAACATACTATTGAAGGTTAAATAATTCTAAATATTTTATTTTTATTTTTTTATATTGAAATAAATTTGCATAATAATTAATAACATGTATTTTTTTATGTCAAGATAATAATACATTTATACATATAACATATATATATATATATTATATTACATAAAATTCTACAAGGGCTCGTGCCCCTACGGTCTCGTGCCCCTACGGGCCCCTATATATATAGGGTGACTAATAACTTATGACTTATGACATGGTGGGGATTGATTCGATTCAATTTTGCTAAGAAACCAGATGGTTGGTTTTCTTATAGAACCAACAATCAATGGGACAGCTCCACATGCAGCTGTCCCACATTATTTTCATGTGGGACAACCCTATGTGGAGCTGTCTCATTGGTGGTTGGTTCCATAAGGAAACCAACTATCTGATTTTATAGCAAAACTGTGATTCGATGATGGCCTAGACTAAGTGTAATATAGTTACTATTGTTGTGAGCTTATATAACATTTAATAGTAATAAATAATAAATAGCTAGTATTTCATATAAGGTGAAGTTTCTTTTTTCTTTTTTTTTTTTTTTCAAAGCAAAGCTCATTATAGTATTTATTTTTTAACAAAAATAAAAAATAAAAATGATACGAGTACGAGTTAACCACCGTATGCTATATATGAGTTGAGAATACAATAATTTTTAAATGAATTTAACTAAATGTTATCTATATCTATATATATATAATTACTAGCTAATAGCATTTAATAAAGGGGTAATGCTCCTTTATAACACTCAATCAAAAGTAAAAATGAAATCTAGCCTCTTTAATAAAACCCATTTAATTTTACCTATGTGGCAATTTAACCATTTCTCCTCTCCCCCCAAACTGTTACTTTTGATGTATTTAATCTTTCATTTGATTATTAAATAATCAACACTAATCACTTCAAAATTACAAAAAGTATTTTAAACTTCCGATTACTGACAGTCAACCATATAATGTGTTATTATTGTGGTAACATTAAGATTATTATTTTTAAATAAAAAAACGTATTTGAAGTTCTTAAATAAATAATAAATAATTCACAAAAAACAGACGTACCAAAATATACATTACATCCAATCAGATAAACGCAATTTTTAAAAAAATAAATATTTCAACACTTTTAATTGTAAATTTGGTCAGCAAAAAAGGTGAAAGAAAAATAATTAATCGTTATATGCATACAAATAATTCACAATACATTTTTATATATGT